GGTCTCACACCCCGCAGTGTCCACGCCGACCTCAGGAGTGTTTCCCCACGGAGCCCCCAGCAGAACAGGCTGGAGCATGGCCTGGAGAACATTCTAGAGCTTGGAAAACCTGGCTGCAAACACCATGAGAGCAGAACACTGCTCAGCAGAGAAGACATCCTCTGTTCCATCTTCCCAAGAGACTGAACGCTCCTATTCCACGTGTAAACACGCACATTCTAGCAGCAGTGTGAGCTCGCACCCACCCCCATGTCCTGCACAAAACACACACAATTCCAGCTTTGCAGCCAAGTCCAAGCTCCTTTCAGCTTGGAAATATAATTGGGAAGAATCTATGTAGGACCTGGTGGTCTCAGTCTTCCCCCAGGGAACGCTGTGGGCTGCAAGGAGGTCATGCCCATCAAGGGCTTGTCCACTAAAGTGGAGGCAGCTTTTAAACCCATCCTGCACCTTCCCCTGTTCAATTATTTGAGCAGAAACAACTTTATACTTGTTCCCAGAAGAGCCCCCGGCTCTGTGTCCCTTTTTGGGCAGTGAGGAACACCCAGCACTAACAGATCCCCTGTCTCATCACTCACCTGGCTTTTAAGCAGATATTTCATGGCTATTGTTAATGCACATTTTTCATGGAGTAATTTTCTGAGCCTCAGCCTGGAACACATCCCAGTGACAAATGCTCTAGATTTGGATGGTCCTGTCAGCTTCAGTGTCACCTCAGCCATTCCCCCAGTGCCTGCTCCAGACAGGCCATCCAGGTTTATGGGAGCTCTGGCTCCAGGAGTGTTACTGAACCTCAGGAATCGAGAGGCTTTTCAAGTCTAATTGAATAAAATCCTTTGCAATATAAATTCTTCATGAATGCTCCATAAATCAGCTCTGGGAGGGATTTATAGTAGTTCCTTTTTTTTTCCAGCTGGGGGAAGAAATCTCACTACTGGTTTGGGACCAAAGCTGGCATTGTTTGGATTGCAAGGAGAAATAAATTTAGCTACTACGCTTTAATATGATGGAGAGATTAAATTTATTGGGGTGCCCCCAGCAGCCCCCCTCTCCCTCTCTATCCACAGCAGTTGTTTCTGGGGGGCTGAGGCAGGCTGGAACAGGGTTTGAATTTAGGAGGGAGCAGAGATAAGGCTGAGCGTGGCCCAGAACTGGGCCAGGAGCAGACTTTCTGTCCTGAGAGTGTCTCTGAGGTCACCAGGGAGCCTCTGGCTGTTACACTGAGGGGCCTCAGGCTGAGGGAGCTGGGGGGGCTCAGCCTGGAGAAAAGGAGGCTCAGGGGGTACCTTCTCACTCTCTGCAAATCCCTGACAGGAGGGGGGAGCTGGGGGGGGGGTCAGGCTCTGCTCCCAGGGAACAAGGGACAGGATGAGAGGAAACGGCCTCAAGCTCCCCTCAAGGGGACATTCAGGTTGGACATCAGGAGGAATTTCCTCAAGGAAAAGGCATTGGAAGGGGCTGCCCAGGCAGGCAGTGGAGTCCCCATCCCTGAAGGTCTCCAAGGAATGACTGGATGTGGCACTCAGTGCTCTGGGCTGGGGGACAGGGCAGGGATTTGGCACAGATTGGACTTGATGGTCTTGGAGAGCTTTTCCAGCCTCAATGATTCTGGGATTCTGTGACTGCTCAGACCCTGGTGTACCCTCCTCCCTGTGCTGGGAGCAGAGACCAGTGGTGGGGACACAGGGCTGGAGCAGGGACCTCGTGCACCAAGTCCCAGCGTGGCTGAGCTGCCCCTGCCAACGATCCCACGGCACCGGAGGCCAGTGAGGCAGCAGGAGCAGAGCCACTACAATGAAACACAGGCTCTAAAACAAATAAAGCTCCTCAGCTCTGGGCTGGCATTTGTTTTTCCAAGCTCTTTGTCCCTACCCAGCAAATCCAGCCCTACAACATAGGGATTCTAGTGCCTGCACCTCATTAATATAACGGGGGAGGCAGATGCTTTGTCCATGCAGTGCCCAGCCACATTCCTGCCTCGCAGGGCGCCTGCTCCCGGGCTGTGCCGGAGCTGCCAGCACAGACATATGTTGCTAAGGGTCGTTTATTCTTGTTTGTAAAATGTATGGCTGCTCCCGGCTTCCACACTGTCAAAACTGGAAGAACTGGCCCCAAAATCTCTTGCTGCATGATTGGATCAGACGCCTGTACATCTGTTAACGCTGTAGGAGCTGTAAAACGGAATAAGTTGTGCTATAACTCAAGCCCCTCGATTGCCGCCGCGACGCGGGAGCAGCGGAGCCGCTGCTGCTCCGCCAGCAACGACACAACATCCATTTGGCCAGTCAGATGTAAATTTACACAAGGCAGCGTTTCCTCGGCCAGTGCACAGAAGGGAGGAGGGGGATGTGTGTCCCCACCTCGACAGGATGTGCTGGACTCCTCAGCTCGGTGAGTTTTGGGGTGCACAGCCCCAGTAGTGGGAGCCAGCAGCAGTTCTGTGCTCCTCCTCTCGAGCTGCTGGGGGAGCTGAACAGACCACAGTTCCACCAGGTCAAGTCCTCTGCACTCACAGGCCCCTGAAATCCCCATTTAGCCTGAAAATGGTCAAAGTAAAACCCTCCCCACTCAAACAAGTCGAGTTGCAAATAAGGGAAGCCCTGGCTGGGAAGGGCAGGTGCAGTTATGGCACCCCAGGGTAAGAACCACCATCCCTGCCCTGGACAGGAGCAGGTTCAGCCTGTTTGTGTGCAGGAAGGGGCTGTCTGGGCCCCTCAGCTCCCCTTGCTGCACCCTGGCCCCAAGTGCCCACCTCAGTGCTCATCCCAGTGCCCCATCCCTGCCTCTGCTGCTCCACACGGCAGGCATAGAGAGGCAGTGACAGTGGGAGGGCTCAAACCACCCCCAGGGGAACCTGCAGAGGGTCTGTATTGAACAACTCGACCTTAGAAACAGCCACAAAAGCACTTCTGTGAGCACCAGTTCAGTGCCACTTACCCAGGTGTGGCAGTGCCACAGGGGTGTGCCCCCTCCACCACCAGGGCACTGACCTGTTGCAGGAACTGCTGTACATCTTGGGAAAGGTGAGCAAACAAAAACAAGCGGCAGGAACATCAGATCTCGTTATGCTCAGGGATGTGGAGACCAGAGCACGGCACACACTCCTCCCTCTCCATCTCAGCCTGTAAACAGCCCTGGAAAAGGGTGCAGGCCAAGAGGTTGCACAGAACAGGGGTATCAAACAGGGAATACCAGTCTGTGGAGTGTGGGGCTTGGGAGAGCCTGTAGGAGCAGGAGAGGAGCAGCAGAGCAGCTGTGTGCTCCCAGACCCCCTGTGCCCACACAGCAGCTGCCGTGGCTGGGACACCCAGCTCTGCTCTGTGCCAGCACTGCTGAGGGAGCACCAGCCTCCAGTGACCACTCCCAGCTCCACCCCGGGCAGTGCCCAGTGTTTGCATGGTCCTAGTGCCCTGGATGGCCATGGTCCCACCTCACCCTCAGGATGCCTCAATCCAGGCTTGGATGCTCAGCTCCAGGCTGGGATGCCATGAGAGCAGGCGCTGTGCAGGCTTGCCTGGCTGCTGCCAGCTTTCTGCCTTGGCAGCATCTGCTGTGGGGGCTCTTTTTGCTCTTTCTGACAGTGCCAGATGCCTCTGTGTCAAAACAATGGCACTTGCACACTGACTGGGAGCCTCTCCCTCGCTCCATCCCTGCTCCCGTTCCCCGCGGAGCCCCAACGCCCACGGGGCCGGCCTGGGGCACCACGGGCATGGGGAGTGGGGCAGGAGGGCTCCAGAGCAGGGACAGATGGGCAGCAAAGGGCCACAAGGTCACGCACGTTCATGGGGGGAAGCTGGAGCAGCAGCAGGCACAGCTCCTCACTCCTGCCAGAGCCAGGCCAGGGGAGAAATATGGAATATTGTTATCAACATCAAACCCCACATTGGCTCCAGTGGCTGTCTCCCTCTCCTGTGCTGGGGGATCCTGCCTGGGTTCCCAGCCCATTTCCTTCTCTACCAGTGGTCCCAGTCACCATTCCCAGACATGCACCAAGCACTGCTCACCCCAGCACTTGTTGGGCTCTCCTCTGCCTGCATCCAAGGAGCACCAATATCCTCAGGAAGGTACCAAGGACCAAAGTCACAGCACCCTGCAGGACCAGGTAAAGCTTCTCCAAGCATATTCCAAGACACAAGAGCAAATCCTGCTTCAAACAACACTGCCAGGTCCCTTTGGGCTCAGCAGCCCTTGGATCACCCCATCAGCATGAGCACAGGCACCAGGAACCAGCCTGGCAAAAGGGATTCCCAAGGAAGCACCAAGCTCTGTTCTCTGCCTGGAAGAGAATCCCAGAATTCCAGACAGGTTTGGGTTGAAAGAGACCTTAAAGCTCAACCAGTTCTACCCCCTGCCATGGGCAGGGACACCTTCCACTATCCCAGATTGCTCCAAGCCCCATCCAACCTGGCCTTGGACACTTCTAGGGATAGGGCAGTCACAGCTTTTCTGGGTAACTGTGCCAGGGCCTCACCACTCTCAGAGTAAAGGCAGATTCCCACTAAAGGCAGGTGCTCTCTGAGAGGTACTAGCCCCCCACACTCTGCTCTCCCTTCTGCCAGGAGCAGCCCACCCAGGCATTCCCTGCCCTAGGAAAGGACAAGGAGACATCCAACCACCTGAGCTCAAACCAGCTTTATTTTCTCTGCAGTTCTGACACACAGGGATGTAACCAAGGTCTCCACGGCAGCGAGGCTTGGATAGAAAAGCTCCTCATTAATCTCCCGTGGCACAACCATCCCTGCCCTGCACACCTGCAGGACACACAGAGCAGGCAGGACTGACACACCTTCCACACCTTCTGCTCAGGTAAACACACATTCCAGCCTCCCCAGGACACAGAAATCAGCCCCTCCACAGAAATCTTAGTCCACAGCTACCAGGGAGTCACCATACAATCACATTTTATACACCAGCTACAATGGGGAGCAGTGTCTCACAGTGCAACATTTCCAGGTTTGGAGGGACCAAGCTAAGTCTGTAGGAAGATCTTTTCTAGGAATTGTACTCCTGAGGAACAAAGGGAAAAGGGGAGCAAGGATTTTATTTCAGTGTTCAACAACTCATTGTGCTCTAGTTCAACACACTGCGTTTCCTAGAAGAAAAAAAGGAGATTTTGGGTGGCATTTAAACTATGAGTGGTCCAGGCCAGTGCCTAGACCTCCCAACTACACAGTCACCAACTGGTTAATGCCAAAATGCTCTACGTAAAAAAAAAAATAAATTAAAGAGAGAAATTTCCTATCATCTTTAATTTCTCTAATTTCTCTGACTCACAGCCCAGTGCCCTGAACCCTGTGGATGCAGACATTCCTGTCCGCACCAACACTTCCCATCACTCCTGTTTAATATCACGGATTTGACAGAGAAAAAGGATCCTGACATTGCTTTCCAGATGCATTTCCAGGCATCAGTTCTAAAAAAAGGGTTATTTCTCTGAAAACCATCTGCAGCAGGACAGGAGGATGAGGCAAAGGCCACCTCTCTGCTCATGGTTGGTCGGTGCCGAGTGTTTCTGATCCATTTGAAATGTGGAACATTGTGGGAAAGGGGGTCTCTCAGAGCCCAGGAGCCTTCTCCGTGCTGAGCACACCTGGGGACAGGAATCCCATGGGATGGACCAGCAGGTGAGGCAGGGTACAGCCAGAGCAGGGTAAGGTTTGCCAGTGCCAGGAGGGGAAAGGAAACCCAGGGCAGACACCACTAGCCTGTGCAGGAGCTTGTTTTATTAGTGGGGTGAAGGAGAGAAGGTGACTGTTTTCAATCCTGTCCCAAGCAGGGCAATGCCATGGTTTTCCTCTGCTGCCAGAATCCCAGCATGGACAGGACAGCCCAGGAACAGCCCAGTCTCTCCTCTCCCTGGCCCAGGCCTTGCAACAACACAAGGGATCAAGGTGGGAAACTGTAGAGACACTTTATCAACGTCTCTGGACTTCATCAGAAATGGCAGGAAGGGTCCCCACCTTCCCAACACCCCTGTCACAGCCTGCAAAGTCGCCTGCTACAGGCAAACGTCATAAGGCCAGAAAGAGACAAAGAGACCAAAATAAATAGTTTGGCAACAAAGCAAATATGGCTGTTACACAGAGACCCAGTCCTGGGTGGAAACAGCACATCTCCCTAACAAAAAGGGCCTGCAAACAAAGTGAAACTTCCATCCAAGAGGAATTTTGCTAGTGGCGGTTTCCAGAGAGGAACCTGTCCCGCCTGAGCACTGTGCTGGGGAGCGAGGGCTGCCTGAGCTGTGTCCTCTGGAGCTCCTGCCCTTTGGAAACTACATAAAATTAAACCATTTCTGCTCCTGAGAAATTGAGACACATTCCCTTCCCATCCAAAGCCCCGGCTCTGGCAAGAACTTGGCAGAGGCACAGCTGGCTCAGCACACTGACCCCATGCCTGCTGCTCCAGCTCTTAACCTCCAGCACACCCAGACCTTCCCGAGAGCCACAGAGTCCATCTGCTCGTGTTTAACCTGCTGCTTCCCGGGTCTGGCACGTGGTTCCTTCTCTGAGACACACCAAGGGCCTTGGAGGGCACCTGGAACCCCCCTGCAGTACCTGAGTGAGCAGTGCCCATCTGGGGCACATCCAATGCTGCTGCCTCCCACTCGTCTCCCTGTGGGCTCTGTCATCTCTCTGCCTTTCCCACAGACTCACTTCCACCCAGAGCAGCTCCTGGGAAAGGGAAAAGCAGCACTCCCACAGCAGCAGCTGCCCGGCCTGCCCAGCCTGCTGGGGGTCTCACGGTCACTAATCTGACTGGCACTTGGAATGTTCCTTTTGTGCTCCCCCGGGGTTTTGCTTTGAAAGACGATTTATGTGGGTGTCAAGTGAAGTGTTTTGGGTCAGGCCCATCACCTCCTCCAGTCTGGAGCCGTGCCCAAGAAGAGCCAGCCCTGAGCCCAGCAGCTCTTCCCGGGATCCCTGTAAACCTCCACTCCCAGCTGCATGTCTCCAGCCCTCAAGTGAGCCGTGGCTCCCGGGAGCTGATCCAGGCTCCGTGCACGAAGCCTCCCCTCCGGCAGCAGCTCCGAGCCCCATACCGAGTGCAGGCCGCCTAGGACAGCTCAAAGCCAGTGTTCATGCTGATGGCATAGCGCAGCTTCTCCCTCAGGATGCTTTTCTTGCTGTAGTTGGGCAGCTTGAGGAGGTTGAAGCAGGTGGAGGAGGTCGGGAGCCGCCCACCCGGCTCCTTCTTGCGGATGGTGAAAAAGCCGCGCAAGACGCTGCCCAGAGTGTCCCCCGTGTCCTGCAACAGGCACACAGCTGTCACCTCCCCCTGTGCCACGGGGCCTGCACACGGGCAGGGCTGCCAGTACAAAACCTGCCACTGGCAACAGGGAGAGCCAAACCCCAAGGCTCTGTCTGCCCACAGGGAGTTCTGCTTGTAACTGCAGTGCTGTGACACGGGCAGAGTGAGCAGGGAGACAAGGGAGGGGGGGAACAGGGGAACACAGGGAGCTCCTGAGGGGAAAACACAACCCTTGACACAGGCAGAGAGAGCCCAGAGTGGCTGTGTGGGGGGAGAGGCAGGTGCAGCCATGAGCATTCTATTGGGGTGGGGTTGTTTTCACTGTGTCCTATAGAGCACAAATAGAATCATGAAATGGTTTAGGCTGGAGGGACCATAAAGCTCATCCAGTGCCACCCCCTGCCATGGGCAGGGACACCTTCCACTAGACTAGGTTGCTCCAAGCCCTGTCCAACCTGGCCTTGAACACTTCCGTAGCTTCTCTGGTTGCCAAATTCTCTGGGCAACCCCAGGGCCTCAGAACTCTCACAGGGAAGAATTCCTTCCTAATGCTAACATCTAATCTTCCCACTTTAAGAGTTTCCTGGTCAGACAGAGCTGGGGAAGCTGGGGAGGGAATGCCTAAGCCAGGAGCAAGCAGGGTGCCCACCTGATCATCAGAGACTTCCACACAGCGGATGGAAAAAGGAGGCTTGAGGTAGGCAAAGCCCAGAAGTGGAGGCCTGGAGCAGCTGGTCACAAACTGAAAAAGGCATGGAGAGTCAAGATAGGAGCAGAGAGGGCAGGAACAGCCACACAGAAATAACACAGTGCTGGGACTGGCACTGTGCACCCCAGTAAAACTGAGCTCTGGTGCACAGCCCTGCCTGAGGAGTGACAGCTGTGCAGAGCATTCGTGGTGACACCAGAGCATTTACAGGAACTCTGCCTGCTGGGCACATTCAGGTGTCCAGGATTCTGATACTCCTTTTACTAGTGGCAGAAAGCACACAGGGAACTGGAGAACAGCACTGGCCCACCCACCCAAAGCCCAGGCTGGGCTGCCATGATTTCCCACTCACCTTGAGGAACATGGCTCTCTCCTCGGGGCTGAAGTCATTGGCCAGGATGTCCCACAGCCAGATGATGACCCGGTGACTCCCATGGAAGCCCCCGTAGTACACGGTGTGTTTTCTGGGGAGACAAAGGTTTTGCCAGGCCTGTGTCACGGCAGCAGGAGGGGCACAGCTGACAAGTGCTGCAAGGATCAGTCATGTAGGATGGTTTGGGTTGGAAGGGACCTTAAAGCTCATCCTGTTCCAAACCCTCTGCCATGAGTCAGTTCACTGGTCCAGCTGACACTGACAGCGCTGAGTCCCCACCAGCACTTACTGGGCACTCGGTCAGAGGAAAGGGAAGGGCAGGGAGAAATTCTGCTCCCAGGAACCAGTGGAAGAAAGGACCCTTCCCATTCATTAATTATCCAAATTAGCTTTAAGGAACATGTTCCTCAGCTCTGTCTCTGCTTGCTCCTCAAATTCCAATGAGGAGGAGCACAAAGTTGTGGACAAGCCAGTCTCCTCCAGCTCTGTGATGAAGGGGCTCAGTTTACTGGCTTGCTGAGGGGAGGCCCAGCAGAACCAGCCGCTCACTTACTTCAGGTCCTCGAGGTCAATCTCAGCGTTGTCCCCGGAGATCAGGCGCTGCAGCTCCGGCGCGGAAAACATCCGGATCCACTCGGGCTTGATGATGGACCTGAAGCCGCTGATGAGAGCAGCTGTCTGGCTCTTGATCTGGGTGTGCATCCGGAAGTGAGCCATGAGGTGGATGTAGCTGATTCTGGGGGGGACAGGGCAGGGCAGGTGGCAGGGAGGGATGGAGCAGCCAGGGGTACCCCCCATGCCAGTCCTGACCTGTCTCTCCAGCCCCAAAGGGACTGTCACTGCCTGGAAAGGGATTATACTTTCCCATCCAGGGCTCTGAACTTTATTTAAGCACATAAAGATGTTGTTCTGCCCAGACTTTGCCCCCTTCCCCATCTCTGTGATTCTGCTCATTTCTTGGAGCTCCTGCACAACCCAGGGCTAATTGGCTCCAATAATCCCTTGATCAGCCTTGGCCAGACACAGCTCACAGAGGGGAGCACACACCCAACTCCTCTTTAAAGGATCAGATCCTCAGGCAGACACTCCTCTAGTGCTCCTGCCCCCATGGCTGGAGAATGAGCACACCAAAACCACACAGCACATTCCCATTTCCCTCCAGGAGTGTGGAAGAGGAGCCCTGTTTGTTACAGGGAGGCACCATCAGGCTTTCTCTTCTCACCCACAGGCAAAACACCTGAATTTGCTGATTCTTCTTCCTCAGCTCCCTGGCAGACCCCACCACGATCCCACTGACTGGGTTTTTGGCCAGGTCACCTCACTCCATAATTCCCAGACAGAGCTGTTCCCAGATTGCTTCATCTCCCAACACTTCTGCTCCTTCCCAGCTCCCAGTGTGTATGCAAAAGTTTCAAAGTTTCCAATCTAAATGATTATAGCAACATCCAGGACTTTCAACTTCCTCCCTGAGCTGACTTCAGACAAGGCAGAGGAAGATTCTTTCAAATGCAAACTCCCTGGTCAGAGCTGGAGAAGGGAAAAGACTGGGAACATCAGAGTGCAGAGCACGACTAGCACAGCCAAATCCTCAGGTAGGACGCAGCTTTCATTTGCCATTAAAGAGAACAACCCCCAGATTACCAGTTCAAACACACATCTGCTTAATAGATATTTCATCCTGCTTTTATGATCACTGAAGGGGATAGGGAAGAGAAAAAAAAATGAAGGGAACAAAAAGGTGGGGTTGGCTTTCAGGCTCCCGAGTTGACATTTGAGATAACTATCTAAAAGCCGGTTATCTGTGAAAATAGCCCCAGGGCTCGGTGTCTCCTCTCATTTCCTGTGTCTAAAGAACGACTGTCGACTGCATTTGAATTCACCACTGTCTGCTCCGACCACGGTGCTTTATACAACTGCCACATGTTATCATTCTGAGGAGATCTGTCTGCTCCAAGGTGTCTTTGAGCATCTGTGCCCTCTGTGTTCACCACCGTGTGCCTGAATTGCTTTGAATCCATCTGTCTGTATCCATCACCATCATTAAATCCTGCAGAATCTCCCTGACTGTGTGCCTTTGACCTCAGAAGTGCTGTTTCAAGAAGTAAATTGTCAATTTTTATTTTGCAAATCAAATTTAATACAATTTCTGCCGATGAACTGTAACCAGCAAATTCCATTAAGATATTTATGTGCTCCTTCTACTCCAATCTATCTCAATTCATTCCAGATGCAAGCCCAAGGAACTAGAATAAAGTATTTTGCAGTAGTGACCTTAAAAATGTAATTGCTGTACTTACTTATTTTCATTGGTAACGGGAATGGTCTTCCCTCCAGGAACAAGTTCATGGCAAACAAGCTGAAGGAAGAAATGATTGGATTGCTAATTACTGCCTGGAACCACAATGGAAGGAAATACCATACCAAGCTGTTACCTCCCCATAAAACATTTATTTTTACAATAAAACAGTAGGATTTAAATTTAAGTAATAATCCTGCTTCTGCCTTGAACCAGTTTCACTTAACTATTAACAGAGCAATGGAACAGCAGGAACTCCAACTCTCCCACCAGCAGAGCCAGCCCTTCTCCCAGGAAGCCTCCTCTCCAGCCTGATCCATCACTGCTGAACCGCACACAAATCAATTCCAAGAGCCCTGGGGGACTGTCACAATCCCAGAATCCAGGGGCTGAACAAGCTCAGAGCCTCAGATAGCTCAGTCTAACAGCACAATCCAAAGCTGGCTGATCCACAAGTCTCATCCAGGAGCTCCTGTCCCTCCAGCTGGGCACTCCAGGCAGGAAAGGAGAGAGCTGGGAAGGATCTCCCAGCCTGGTGCTCCCCTCCAGCTCAGGGACAGTGCAGGGCCCTCCAGGTGCTGGCTACACATGACTCATCTTTGCACAAACTGAGGCAGAAAGTCTTTATTCACACATCAGAGTGGCCTCCGTGCCTCAGCTCCAGGGGAATTCCAAGGTCAGGAGAGAGCACAGCTCAAGGAATGAGCACAGCTCACCTGTGCCCAACACCCCCACCCCAGCAGGGACACAGTTCATTCAGGGTTATCCCACCTGGCTCCTTCAGCATGGCCAAAGCACAGGGAAAACAGGAGAGCCTGGTTTATTTTTAACCTTAGTGTTCCACAGCCTTCTGTATCTCATTGCTGGGCTCTATACCCTGTTTCCAACTTTTATTTTTCAAGAAAACCCTCAAAGCTGAACCCTCAGCAATCCTGAGGCAGCAGGAAGGTGTCCTGCAGTGGGCACAGCCCCTAGTGGTGCAGAGCAGGGCTGTGTCCACACTCAGCTCTTCCCACTCACTGTGCAGGTGCATTTTCATGGCTAGTGCTGCTCCTGGACAAACTCACCAGCTGAGGAATAAAAACGTAGCATGCAAAGCTCTCAAGGACAAGCTGCCCCAGACAGACAGTCCCTGACTCAGTGGTCTCTGTGCCACTGGATCTATCCTACTCTCGGCGCCCGGGATCAGCACAGGCTGGGGGCTCCCCACGGAATTTGCAGCCACAACACACTGACAGCAAAGGCATTTTTATCTTATCTCTCCAGATTTTCCAGCTATGCTCACACAACATCACAGAGCCCAGGGCTCAAGTGCAATCAAGTACCTTCAAGCCTTCCTAGGGGACTGACAAACAGCTTTTTCTTCTCTAGGCCAAGAGACCTCCTCACACACTTCAAGTTCCTCTGACAGAAATAGCTATGCTGAAAGAAAAGGAATTTCTCCCCACATAGAGATTCTTTTTTAAAAGAAAGGAAAACCAGTTATGCAGGGAAAGCGTTAAACACTTTTTCAACTAGAAAGGAAAAAACCCTGGCAGCAGAAAAATTAAGGGTCAGAGGGCAACCTTTTTGTGGAAAAAGCTGTTCTCTGCTCACAGCTAAATACTGAATCTCTGAGCTGAGCTCAGAGAAGCCCTGAAGCTGAGCCAGCCTTGCAGCACAGGCATTTCTTCTGTAAAGAAGAGCAGAGCTCAGTCCTTACCACAATCAAACACAGGTTCATTTCCCAGTCAGTCCCATGGGGATTCCTGCTCAGATGGGCCACACAGAGCATCCACCTGACTACGCTCAGAAACACAGTTCCAGAGTAAAAAGTGCGAGCTGGGACACACTCCTGGCTTTTAGACACTCAACACCAGCTCTCAGAGAGCTCAGCAGAGAATAATATTTGTTTTCTGCTGGCAAATTTGACTGCAGGTGTATTTCTCTGCTCTAAGGACACCAAATCTGCCACTTCTGGCACCCCAGGCTTTACCACAGCAGTCGGCAACAACCCTCAGGACCCCTCAGTGCTTCAAAGGCTCTTCTGGTAGCCCAGCCAGACAAACGAGGAGACATTCCCACGTGGATCAGCTGGGATCTAACCAGGAGGAACAGCTGGGAATCTAACCAGGAGGAACAGCCAGGGTTGTGGATTCTATCAGTGCCCAGAATTCTGCTCATCATCATCTATCAGGAGCTGGACCCTGATGATCCTTGTGGGTCCCTTCCAACTGAGGATATTCTATGATTCTACTCCATGACAGCACAAAGAGGGTGTCTGGGACAAAGTAAGGATAAGGTCCAACATCTCACTGAATAAAAACCTACCTGACCCATCACATCTTCATCATAGGACAGTGTTAAGCCCAGGTCACTGATATCACCGTCATAACGCTGGAGAGCAACAGGGAAAGGGAAAGAAGGTCAGTGTTCAGCAGCAGAACCACCAGTTACATCCAGGGTGGTTTTAAAAAAGTTCAGTACCCCAAAGGCACTTGTAATGGACTATTTCTAACAGCAGTGATCAGGGAGGAGAACAACAGGAAAGTTGATGCTCAAACCTTAATTGAAGTGAGATTTTTATAGAACTCAGAGTCCAAGGAGGGAAGTTCATCCACGGAGCTGTAGAAGACACTGTGGTGGTGCCCAAGGAGCTGACTCAAAAAGAAGGAAGCAAATGGTACATCCACAACTATTCCCTGTGGTCAAGAAAAATGCACAGGTAAGGTCCTGCCCCATACATGTTATGTGTGATAACTGGTTACCTGCAAGGCCTGCAGGTAGAGCTTGTGATGTGGAAAAAGTGCAAAGGGCATCTTTGCAAGGCATTGAAACCAGCTACAAAACCCACATCCTCTTAAAATCCATTAATTAGTGCAGCAAGTGCAAAAAGGCAACAGGGGAACTCAATGTTTCCTTTAAAAGAACTTACATGGAGTGGGTCATTCTGTCACTCCATCCTCCTTTTTGACACGTCCCTTTAAGGCACCAACAAATGGATCCTTGGAAGGTGTAACACCAAAATAACAGACTATTCCAGCTGGTGCCCCCAGCACCATGAGGAACAACCAAGGTGTGCCCCAGGTTTTACGTCCAAGATTATTCTTAACACATGCCAGGCTGTTCCACGGTGAGTATCTTTGTGCAAGTCCTTTTTCCAAACTCACCTCTTCAGTAGCACCTCCCCAAGCACAAGAGATGCTCTCAAAGGTACCCCCACAGAACTGTACCAACAGTGACAATATGGTGCTTCTGGCTCACCTCATATACAGCCTTCCCAAGCATCTTCCCCACAAACTCAAAGAGCTGGAGGTAGTTCTCATGGATGTAGGATGTTGGGGATGGATACAGCCTCTCATCACCACTGGTGGTCTGTGCAGAGAGGTAAGAGCACAGTGAGTCAGGTTGTTCCTGTCTGCAGGGGGTCACCACAGTCAGCACCTGGGTCATACCTTGAACAGGTTGAGTGCAGGGTCAAACACTTTTTTAATTATCTCTTCCAGAAACTCTTTGAAGACCCCATCCTGATCAATACCAGCCTCATCGACTCCCAGATCATTCACAAACTTCACTCTGATCACCCCCTTCATGGCGTTCTGGGAAAGCTGCCGGAGCTGTTCATATCCATCCTACACAGACCAGGAGATCCAGAGCACAGTCATGGAGGGAGACATGTAAAACACCCACACAGACATGCAGCAGAGAGAGGAGACAGATACACCATAGAAACCTGCATTACTATTGAACCTTGTGTTCAAAAAGAGCAGCATTTTCTGAGTCAAAACTCCAGGTCTGGAGCAGCTGAACTGAACAAAGGTCCAGCATTTTTCCTGTATCATCAGTTCTGAGACTGATGGGTCCCTCAACACCCACAGAGAAGGTAAAAACACACTCTGGGCCCATGTTTTTGTCAGGCCAAGGTGCTGCCCTGTTGGTTGCCTCCTGCAGGACAGGTCCCTCACCTCCAGCATCCGTGAGCGGCGGATGGTGATGTGTGTGACGTGAGGGGACGCCGAGCTGGTTTCAACCAGCCCCAGCTTCTCCTTCTCCTTTGTGACCATGTTTCGGAAAAGCAGCACCCTCTTCAAAAAGAAAACAAATGTCAGTCTTCATCCACAAGGATCCTTATCCTGCAGTGCAGCAGGGTTTTGGAACACACACCCAGAACTACTCCTGGTTGTCCCGATCCCAGCTGGGCCCAGAAATGCCAGTGGCACCCACTCACTCCATGCAGCTACCCACACAAATCAGTTCTGTCTCAACAACAGAAATCAAGACATTTAGAGGAAATATACTGGGGAGAGGTGGGAAGGAAGGAAAAGACTTCTATTCAACTGGCATTTCAATCACAAAATGCTCCAGACACGTGTCCCTTCCACCCCAGCCCACCCAGCTCAGTGCCTTCTCAGCCTCCATCCTCTGCCCCCCGTACCACTCACGTTCTTGTGGGGAATGACGTGTGGGATGTACTGCAGGAGCAGCTGGGCTCGTTTCTTGTCCTTGTCCAGCTCCTGGAAGAGCACACTGGGTTTGAGGTCCCTTTACAAAGAAAGGCAGAGTTTCAGAGATCCCTGAGAAATGCCCAGGTGTGGGGAATAGCTGGGGGCAAGAGACAGGAAACCTGCAATGATTCAAAGATGACTTAAGTGCTCAGGTTCACCCTCGTAAGAAGGTGAGAAGACTGGAGGCACTCAAGCTCTTGGGTGCTGAGTCAGGTTTCAAAGCACCACCTAAACCTCACACTACGGAAAAGCAGCACAACATGAGGAGTGTCCTTAACTGCAAACACAGGGACCAGTTCTCACCTCGATTTCACAGGCAGAATTTAAAGAAGGGATCCCAAACCAGGCTACACAGAGGCCCTGGGGCACTGGGACAGGCACAGAACTGCACATGACCCCTGCCCTGGACACTCACTTGCGCAGCCAGTGCTCGTCGGGAGCGAAACGCCGGCGACAGTCCCGCTCGTACAGCACCATGAGCCAGCCATGCACGGAGTGGAACAGCTCCAGGGTCTCCCCTCGGGCATTCTCTGCACAGAAGGGACAAAGCAGCCATGTCCAAGCACCCCAGGAAACAGGAGTGGCCAGGAGCAACCCATTGATCACCAGCCACAGTAACAGGACAGGTGTGTTCCTCCTGACCTCCGCTGCCCTTGCAGGGACGGACTTTGTGCCTCGCAGGAGACACAGTGTCTTCTTTGATCAGAGCTACATCAAAGCCATCTCATTTCACAACAGAATTGGACTATCTCATCTAATTGCCAGAGCTGAGCTGTACCCAAATTAACCAGCAGACAGATCAACACCAGATATCTGCAGAGACCTGAGCAGGCCTGGTCCCAGCACTGCATTACTGTCCAACACACAGCCCAGCCGCGCTAAACTTCATCCCTGCCAAAAACCAACACGCCTATCATGCCTGTTTGTTACACAAATTCTTACTGGAAATAGGAAAGTGCTCAGTATTTGGTGCCAAGCACGACAGTGGCATCTGGACATCAAGAGACTGGGACATATTCCCATATAGTAGTGGGTTTTGTGCCAAGTAATAATTAGCAGAAGCTTCAAATTCCAAAATTATTGCCATTTGTTGTTCTAACAGTAGTATCAACTCAAGCTACTAAAAGCACTTACCTACAATTCCATCCCAGATCATCTTAAACACGAAGGAATTCAGGAAAGAGGAGATGGTAACGAGCTCCTCCAGCTTGAATGAAATCTGCTCTTCATAGACCTCTATGTCATCAAGAATCCTGTCAGAGCAAACAAATGCAAATGCACAAGTGTAAATTTAATTCCCTTTTGAAATTTTCATAAAGGCACATTATCCTTTAGCAGCAGCTCTTATTTCTATGACAACTGACACCCATGAGGATCTAAAGTCATAAACAACTAAACCTTATTTATGGATTTTGAGTGATAGCAGATCCTAAGAGAAGATGGTATGAAAGTCTGAGATACAAGCAAAGCCAGAGTTTCAGGCTTAGAAGGACCTGCGCTATCACTCCCAAAAAAACTTTTGCACCATTCAAGCTAAGAGAACTGCCTCTCCTGACCAGCAAGGGCAATTTTTCACCCCCTTTCCCACCCTTTGGGCTGTTTCTTTCTCCTCCCAGTTTTATTACCAGTCCAGTCAGCTGGATATTCCTGAAGCAGCACATGGCTGATGGGGAAAGTCCTTTTGAAGCCCTTTATTTCTCAGGACTTCATCCCAAAATCTTCATGAAAAGGCATAAAACCTTAACTACTTCTAAAACTTCAGGAACACAACAGCTTCATATTACAAATGCAGGGAGCAGCCCCCACATGCTACCTACGTGATGAGGTGGCGGGAGCAGTCACAGAAGAGCATCAGCATGGCCAGCAGCCTCTTGGATTCCTCTGTGTCATTGTTCAAACACTCCAAAAAGAGTTTTAACCCACCCTGTGGTCCCAGCTCACAGATAAAAGCCCACAATTTGGGCAACAGATCATCCAGGTAGGTGAGACCTATGAAAATATAAAGCACACAAAATATAAAGCTTGTTCTGCTGCCTGTGAAGTCACGACTTGGAGCTCAAAGACCCTTTTGCAAAGCAGAAGAGGACCATGAGCATCCCATTTGGCTCCCAAGGCTGTCTGCATTAACAGGACATGTACAATCACCAGAAAAGCAGGAAAAAGAAAAGCTTTTAATGAGGCATTGTTTGCACACCTTAAGCCTTTTTCCCCTAATTCTTTTGCAACTTCAGAAAATAATGAATTCCTGTGATCCCATCACCATTCCAGTATCTTGGAGATGGGAATACAACAAGGCTGTACCCCTGGTCACCACTATAGCCACAAAGCACCCACAGCTTTGCACTCTCTCTACCCACCAGATCAAAGCAGTGCTGATCTCCTCCTCCATCCATTTCCAAGACAGGTAATTTGTTTCCAAGATGTATGAAAGCATCCAGTGTTCCCACCACAGAAAGATTAATATTGCCAGCCTTCCCAAAAACACTGACTCAGGCTGAAGTTTGACATGGTGTAAGCAAGGTTTCACAAGAGGAAAACTTGCTTCAATTTGTATTCTGGAGAGTTAATGCTTGATCAAGTAGTGCTGAATGTTATTGACCAGCTGGATGATTCAGGATGGAGCACGCCTTCCACCCCAGCCAGTCAATAAACTCCTGTCAGTAATAAAACTACCAACAAGTCAACAGAATTTAATAAGGGAAATCTCTTTTTTCTGCACATTGGAAGAGATTTGAAGAGCACAGAGGGGCCCTGACCTGTGAGGATCTGCAGGCGGATCTGGGTGAGCGTGGTCAGGGTGGTCTGGTACAGGACACAGATGCTGCAAACCTTCTGCACCTCCGCGGAGTCCACGCGCTTCCCCCCCACCGGCTTGAGGATGTTCCGGACAGAGGCGGATTTCTGGAACGCTCTCTTGAACAGGTCTGGGGACAGAGAAGCACAGAAGTGATGTTCAAAACCATTCCCGCTGCCAGAGGGCAGGGTTAGATGGGATATTGGGAAGGAATTCTTCCCTGTGAGGGTGGTGAGGCCCTGGCACAGGTTGCCCAGAGAAGCTGTGGCTACCCCATCCCTGGAAGTGTCCAAGGCCAGGTTGGAGCAACGTGGTCTAGTGGAAGGTGTCCCTGCCCATGGCAGGGGAGTGGCCTAAATGATCTTTAAGGTCCCTTTCAACCCAAACAGCTCTGTGATTCCATGATTCTGACTGCAGTAACCACAGGATCTGGTGCTATGGGCAGCATCTAGAAAATATCTGATTTACAGTTACTGCAAATCCTCTTCTGCACCTGTCACAGGTGCACGAACCAGCTTCACCTTGCTTGTCGCAGGGGAAGCTGCCCCTCACCTTACCTTGGGAAATATTAAGTTATGCAGTAAACACTTCAGCTCCAGAAATGATGAAAAGAAACTGCTAAAATAAGCAAATATTTTCCCAGCACCAAATAAGAGATTTTGCCCCAGGTCACTGAGCCACTCTGAGCAGGAATTACAAATAGGAGAGATCATATCCCCACCTCAGCAGCAGCAGCTGCTGCAAGTAATTACTCAAAGCTTTCAGCATAAGTGGAAAAGCCAAAGCCCTGCGAGTCTGGGAGAGAGACACATGTACAAACACACACAAAACCCCCCCTACAACCCTCCAGAACTGACTTTTCATAGGAAGGCTGTTCTGAGGGGAAACTGGCTGTGCTGGCAGCTGAGCTATTTCCTGATTTTCCAGCAGCTTCTTGCTGAGCACATCACTGAAGAGGATGCGGATCATATGGACTCCCCAGAGGTGCTGCAGTTGCTTTGTCAGCAGAGGCATGGACTCATTCAGTCTGGAAGGAAAGGCAGGGAGGCAGGTTGGAATAGAATACCAGGCAGTGACACTGATACATTTGCTCATAATCCAAACTGGAATATGCTCCCACCCTACAGATGGTCCTCATAGGAAGGGCTGATACACAGGTGCTGTATCAGTGTACCAGTATGGCCACTGGTCACCAGTTTAACTACACCCCATGAATTTACTCATGGAATAGTCTGTGTATGAAAGCAAAAATTTACATTGTGCAGACAGAACCTGAAATATCTGAGAAATTATTTTGAACAGGTTCTCCCTGTTCATCTCAAGACATAAAACACATTGCAACATATAAAAAACCCGAAAATAAATAAAAGGAGAGGCTTAATCATCTCTCCCCATAAGGTCCTTCCCACTCACCCATAATCCACAGTCTGTGAAAACCAGCCCAGAACAGGGTGCCAGTGGGTGAGGTTGGATTTCTTCTGTGACACGTACTTCTGGCAGTAGGAGAGCATGTGGATGAGCACCCCCACAAAGTGGGCTGTCTCCTCCTCCAGGACCTGGTCATTCAGAGAGCCCAGGAACACCAGGTTACCTGGAGGAATGACCAGAAAAGTGTGACTTAACAGGAACAGATGCTGTGGGACAGTGGTTACAGGTAAAACCAATCCTTCCTCAAGCCCAGGAGAGGATTTCTGTCAATAGTGATTCTTAGAGGTCACCCTGCAGCAAGCCATTTCCAGTGACGTCCCTTTGGCCACCTTCTCATCTGAGTGCCACCAACACCTTCTACAAAGGACTACAAGCTGCAATCCATGGTTATTCCAGAGCTCCAACTGTTAATCTTGCTACTTTTACCGAAATGTGAATTTAAGTATTTCAGCAGCATGTCTATTTAGGGAACTGGATCCAAGTCTGCCACTTTTCAATACTTTCTCCTTTCTCGGAGTCCAAGTCAAAAGCTGGCAGAGATGATGCTTCCCAGCTCAGCATGATGACATGGAGACAAAAGCAAGTCTCTGACCCTTCCTCCATCTGCAGAGGTCTTAAACCATGTTTGTAATGTCCCAAAATATGTCTCAGTTATTATTTGGAAAATATAAATAAATCATTATCTAAATAATGATTAAAAAATGATGAGTTGGAGGCAGCTCTGACCCACGGAGAAAGAAGATCTGACTCAAGACTCTCTTCCAAACATAGTAAGAAGTGTTGCAGGTGCTTACCCAGCAAACAGAGAGTGTGGCTCCCCTCCAGGCACACACAGACATCTCGGCATTGAGCCTCGCGGCTCAAGAACAGGATGAACTTGCGGAACAGATCGTGAGATTCTATCACTGCCAGACGCTGAAAGACACAATTGACCTGCCCGTGAGGCACCACACAAAGCCCCACACCTGATCTGCCACAGCACCTGGGACTGGCCTTTCTTTCCAAAGAAAGCAGCAAGTTGAGACTGTTGCCCTACAGAGAGTTTGACATGGAGCTGGCCTGGGAAATAAAACCCCTTGCAGGTGAACAGGTCATGTAGTAGTTGTAGACAGAGCTTTGCAATCATCTGTCTGCAAGGACACGGGATGCCCATTTGGCACAAAACCTGCCTGTCTGCACCAAGCAGATTAAATTGGATTAATGGACAGTCCACTAGTTACCTCCTCAGATCCTCTGCCATGCAACAGAGTGATTTTTGCTTTGGCTCTGTCTATGGTTACAGAAATGGAAGAGTAGGGCCATGAAAAATTCAAACTGTTGGTCATATATGCCTTTATTACTTATTTACTTATTTTAAGGCAGTTCAGCCCATCGTTCCACTGGTGTTAATAACATCTGTATTATAAATCCATAGTATTTGTAAGGATCAAGCACTTTCACAAGAGTTGAAACTGGCAAAGAGAGAAATGCAAAAGCTCTGTTCCAGGAGCTGATAAAATGGAATAACAAGTGGCCTGTGATAATCAGTAGATTCTTGGTCCTATGAGATCACCCACTTACCTCAGGTGTGAGAGTAGCAAGGTGAGTCATTATAGCAGGCACAGACATGATATGGATCAGGAAGGACCTCAACAGATTGTCTGAGAACTGTGCAGCAACCACAGGGCTACAGAGAGAGAGGAACACTTCAGAGCACAATCTGGCCCAGAAAAGCAAGACAGCCTTCAACTGAGCTGTTCAGAACTGGTTACTGATTCTTCCCTCAGCAGGAATCAGAAAATCATGGTTTGGGTTGCAAGAGACCTTAAAGACCATTTGGTTCCACCTCCTGCCATGGACAGGGACACCTTCCACCAGACCAGGGTGTTCCAAGCCCTGTCCAACTTGCCCTTGAAGCATCACAAGAAAAACAATATTCACTTACACCTCTCTCCTCAGAGCAAGTTCACAGAACTGCTCTGGCTCAAAGGAATATAAGACAGCTCAGAGAATAAAGCATTTTTACACAGCACACCCACAACACTCTCAGGGTTAAATGGTTCACCTCCTAATTCCCCTTCTCCCCAGTGCCAGAAAATCAGTAATTAATTGCTTTCCTTAGGAAGAAGTGGGGTGACATGGACACCCACTGCTTCTCTCCTGACCATCACACCCTCACCATCCCAGCAGTGACAGCGCAGAAAGGAAGTGACACCCAATTAACCACTGAGGTTTTAATGCTCATTAGTGGCTGCAGGTTTCCAAAGTGTTGCTTCAGGGACAAACTTTTCCCCTGCAGATGGAGTAACAGGTACACCTGCAGCAGCAGTTCATTGTGGAGAGGCACAACCAGCTCACCTGGAGAGCTCCAACCCTTCTGAGGTTCAAACAGACCCCGTAGTCTGAGCTGAGCTGCACCCTCAAGTGAAAGCTCACACTAATTACTGACTCAAAGGCATTCTGAGCTGAAAAAGGATGACAGCAAAGCAAGCCATTTGCCTAAAGCAGCTTCTTTCATCAGGGTGATGCTCTCAAAGGCATGAAAACACTGGCAGAAGGAGAAGTCTTTAAAAAGCACAGTTAAGACAAGTTTGGCTATAAATCCCCGGGAGCAGCTCCAGCTCCCTTACCGCAGTGCCAGGGAGAAGATGGCAGTTAAAGAGCCCTTGGACAAGGAAGGTCTGGATCTTGCCAAGCCATTAGTTAGCAAAATCTGGAATAAAAACCAAATAAATAAAATAAAAACCTTGTAGTACTCAGAAAAAAAAAATTATGATTACTCCTGAAAGACATCAAGTTTATTTAATGCAGAGAAAAAGGACACCAAAGGAACCAAAAATCCAGTTCCTACAAGTCATTTGGCAGCACTAGGAGGGCTTCAGGTTAATAATGGCAGAACAGAGAAGCTGCACTCAAATCAGACACTCTACAGCACTTATTTCTCTAGGACCTGTACTCACAGGGTGCTCAGGCTTTCCTAATTAACAGGCAATAGAATAGTTTGATAATCTAATTCTCATTTAAAAGGTTAATTACATAAGTTCCAACAGAGCAGTAAACAAACCCAACCCATACAATGTGGCAGCAGCAAATTTCAGGAAAAATATTTAAGATTCCTCCTTGTCCATCTCATCATGAGATGATTAAGAGGATTTTGATTCAGCAGTACAGACAGAAAGGAGAGAGTGGGGAGATTCTGTTTGGCTGTTTTGAGAAAAATATGATCACAGACAAATCCCCAGCAGCTTCTTCCTGACACTCCACCAGAGATCCAAATAGCTCTCAGGAGAAGGAGCACAGGCAGGACTGGGGTTTGTCTGGATAAAGAGGAGACAGGAGTGTACCAGCTGAGACTGACCTGCAGCACAGAATAAAACCCCTTCTGGTTCAGGTGTCCCATGATGTTTGCACAGATGTGGTTCATTGCAGGCCTCAGGGTTTCACCTTTGGGTTAAAGCACTGGTGTCACCAAAACAGCATCACAGTCCCACTCTGCATTTCCCCACACACAACACAGCACTTTGGAACTGCTCAAGCCCTCCTTGCACAAAGTCCTTGTCCTTATCCACAACCCCGTCATTTGGGCAGCATTTGACATGGTCTTGCTTGAGATGGAAGTCTCATTTCCTCACTATATTTGTCTTTGTGTATTTCCTACAAAAACTAGAGCTAAAAGCATATCCCCTTATCCTCTGAAAAATTGGGGTGGGGAATTGGAATATTATAAAAACATTGTAACAACTGTTGGTGTCCTAAGGGAAACATCCTAATCTCAAGGGGAACGGTCTGATCCCAAGGGAATCCTTGTTTTGTGCAAGCACAGGAGCAAAATAAAACTTTGTGGTAACCATGGGGAGGGAACAAGGTGCAACAACACAATCCTAAAATGGTTTGGGACCTTAAAGATCATTCAGTCCCACATCCTGCCACGAGCAGGACAACTTCCATTATCCCAGGTTGCTCCAAGCCCTGTCCAACCTGGCCTTGGACACTTCCAGGGATGGGGCAGCCACCGCTTCTCTGGGCAGCCTGTGCCAGGGCCTTCAGAGGATTTTAATAGCGAGTCCCAAATCTTAAGGAATTAATGCACAAACCTTTTCCCCGGAGGATTTTCCAGGTCGAAGTGTCTGTGAAGGTGACGAGCATTGTGAGGTGCAGATTGACCAGTCTGGAGTCCTGCAGGATGTCAGGCTGTGACAACAAACATCAGGGTTAATAAACCTAATTAACTTCGTGCCAACTGTTAAATGCAGGGAGAGAAAACACAAAGAAACAGTCCTTACCTTGAGCTGCTTGAGAAATTCACAGCAAAACCACAAAATATCTTTGATCTGCTTTATCCATAGGAGTGTGAGATCCTTGGAGAGAGCCAGGGACACGTACCACACCTGAGGAAGGGGGATACACTCAGTGATCAGTGCTTGTGCTTGGCAGAGCACATTGCCACAAGTTTTGTAACTGACCCCAGACATGGGACCAAGATACTTCTCTCCCCAAGTTCCCTGGTCAAAGGACACCACCCACCCCAGAATCAACTGCTCTTTAACTCCCATGGCTGTACACAATAAAAATATCAGAGCAATACTAAAGGGCTTGTCCAAACTTTCACCATGGAATCTCTGCAGAGTTCAGAAGCTTCTGAAAGCTAAAAATTCAAATATCACCCATGTAAATCCCCACACATAGAATTAAAAATAACAAACAAACCCCCCCCACTCCAAATCAAACCCCTCCTACTGACCTTGGGCTCATTCTCCACATCCATGCTGTTAAGGATACAGCGGCACAGCTTTTCAAATCTCTGGGGAAATAATAAGGTGGGATTAGTTCTAACTACAGGAAGGGCTGTTCTGGAAAAGCACGAGGAACAGCTCAGCAGAGGGAGCAAGATCTCCCTGGATCAAACAGCAAATGTTCTACACCCCCACACTCCAGCCAGTGCCGACGGCTCCTTCCCTGGAAGCACATGCACACTGCTGCTGGGCAGAATTCCCTCCCTGAGCACAGTGCTCATCCACAGGAGGAATTCCTGCAGCCTCTCTGCTAAACTGCCTCCCTCACCAGCACCAGGAAAAGCTGGAGTTCATCAAGAACAGCTTAGTGCCAAGGAGTGCAGCAGTACCCCAGACTCCTGGACATCCCAGCAGAACTCAGCCATCACATCCACAATGCCTGAATTATCATTTCAGTCCAGATTTACATGTTCAGGCCATGTATTTCCCACATGTTTGCAAGGCATAAAGCCACTCTGAGCTAAGGAACTGGCTGCTGGGGTTATCCCATCTGAGAGCAGTGTCTGGAAATGGAGTGGGAAGGAGTAGAGTCCAGTCCTTGGCTCAGCATGGGATGGATTTGCTGCTGGAAGGGGAAGGAGACGAGGAACTAGAAGGGATTATTTCACCAGTGCACCCAATTGCTGCAGTGCAGAGCTTCAGAGGGATGCTAGGCACTTAAAAATGTGTATGTAACATGCACAGGGCTTTTTCTGATGCTGTATCTACAGAAAACTGCATTTGCAGCACAGACTTCAATGGAACAGAGATTGAAAAAAATCACCCACTGCTGCANTTTCTGATGCTGTATCTACAGAAAACTGCATTTGCAGCACAGACTTCAATGGAACAGAGATTGAAAAAAATCACCCACTGCTGCAGTTTAAACACAGCCTTTCATTTCCCAGTTGTTTCCTTACAATCAGCCCTCACAGTTTCCTGGAGCAAAATTCATCATCTCAGGGCTTCACTCTGAACCCACAAATTCAGGGCATGGTCAGAAAGACAAGCCAGATATATCAGATATCAACAGACATAGATCAGACACAAAGAACCAGCATAGCTCATTGGGAGCTGCCACAAGGTCCCTGCCTGGGGAACTGCTGTGCCAAAATCCTCAGCACTGCTCAGTTCCTGCACCTGGCACAGTCACCAGGAAAAACATCCACCAAACCATGCCCTGAATACAGAACCACTACTGAAAAATTCAAGGCATCTCCTGTTTCATTCCTACAGGCAGATCCCTCCAGGAAGGACCAGGAGACAGAGACCACATTGCTGAGGCCAAAACACATTGCAGGACCCTACAGGATCACTGGATAATGAATTAAACATTTAACATGTTAAAACATGTCCTCAAAAGAAAAGCAGCAGGTAAGGGCAGTGTCCTCACCTCCTTGTCCTCTTTGGGATTAAACACAAACAGCAGCTTCCTGGCAATTCTGAACACAGACAGAGCACTTCTTTTACTTGAGCCAGATTCATTTGTACCAAAGAAATCGTCCACCTCCTTCCTATCAAAGTGAGAAAAATGAGTTGTTAAAAGCCAAGAAAACCTCTCCAGGTAAGAGCAAAGGTAGAATTCCAGGAGGAAAAGGG